CTGGGGACTTAGGAGGCGCTACCAAAGCCAGCCTAACCCTGGCTTGGCTGTGGTGTGTGGTGGCAGGCCAAGCAAGCTAGATGAGCTGGGGACCTGGGCTTGGGAGCCTGGTCCTGGGGACAAGGGATATTGCACTGTGGGCAGGAGGGTCACCGACTGAACTGGCCTGTCCCGAGTGGGAAAGCTGCTGTGGAATGGATGTGCAAGGTGTGCAGTGGACATAGGACAAGTGGACCTGGTGTTGGAGGAGCAGGCCAGTGAGTGGTGTGCTGGGGATGCTGGGTCACTGGGCTAGTCCTGCAGATCCTGAAGCAGCTGGCAGGGTGGGAGGGTGGCAGGGTGGGCAGGATAGGAGTGCAGTGGGGAGGGGTCCTGGGAGAGTCAGGCTGGCCATGGAATGGATGATGATAGTCCTGTGGGTGCAGGGATACCAGCGGAGCCAGCTTGGCAATGAAGCAGGCAGTGGGTGGCTAGGGACACAAGGTGATCTGACCTATCAGACTTGGCTCTGGAGCAGCCAGCAAATGGCATGGGGACTGGGCTGTCTCGTTGAGCACCCCCTGGCCCTGGAGCATACCCCATGCTTGCTAGGCATGCCTATGGTGCTAGGGGAACTTCCTGCAGGCCACTAGAGCAGTGGGTGGGAGAGTGGCATAGGCAGGCTAGAGTCATGTGGGGCAACAGCTGAGCCTGCCTGGCCCTGTAGCAGCCTAGAGGCAAGCTGGGGAAGAGAGGGGTGTTCTGTGGGCCAGCCTGGCCCTGGGTGGATGGAGGGTGGCAGGTGCACCGGCCATTGTGGAGTGGTCCTTGAGCAGCAGGGGATGGTGGTGAGACAGGTGGACATTAGGAGCTTGGCCAGCATTGGCAGAGCCCACATGGTCTTGGAGCAACTCATGGCACAACTGGGTGGGTAGGCTAAAGGCATAGGGGTTTCCAGTCCAGTTGCCCTGTGCCTGGCTGCCTAGAATATTAGAAGTATGGCAGTGCCTGGAGGAGTGACCCTTGTCCTGAAGTGCCAAGAGGAATGACAGAGCATGCCAGGCCGGGACCCAGAGTCTCTGACAAAATGGGCCAGGTCCTAGAGCAGCAGGTGGCCATGCTGCCTACTGAGGGAGCATGGTCACTGGGCAATCCCATCCTGCCCTGGAGCAGTCAATGGGGCTGGCAGGCTAGGGTTCGGGCCTAGTACACCAGCAGAACCTGGCCCTGAAGCAGCAAATGGGACAGTATGCAAACCTGCTTTGTGTGGACAGCCTTCAGCAGAGCTGGCCTTGAGGTGTTGCAGTGAACAGGTGGGCTGGGGATGCGATGGCTGCTGCCCAAGCCGGCGTGGCTCTGCAGCAACAAGTGGGGTGGCAGGGTGGACGTGGTGGCAGGGCGGGCATGCTGGCTGTGGCTGGGTGCTAGCCAGCTGGTATGTCCCTGGAGTGGGTGACAAGTATCTGTAGGCAAGGGGTGGGGTGGGAAGGGTTGCTGATGGAGAAGCTTGCCTTCCCCAAGAGCAGCAGGGGCCAGCGGCTTGTTGTGCATGAGGCATTGGCCAAGTTCCGCTGACAGTAGAGGGGTTGACAGGTGGGCTGGGAATGTGGGAGGCCACACATGAGCCATTTTTTCACTGAAACAGGTAAGCAGGGCAGTGAGGTGGACATGTGTTGCTGACCTTCAGTGACACTGCCTACGAGGCACACTCTTGAGGGTCTGGGAAAAGCCGGAACCACAACCGCACCCCTTATTGCCAAAAGCGGCTGCTTTGATACTTTTTCTCCACTGCTTTTTTCCCTGTAGATCTTCTCTGCTGCTTTTCTAGCGGTCTCTCTGCTGCTTTTTTCCCTGTTCTTCTCCTCGTAGGCCTTATTGCTTTTGTACCCCTCTCTGCTGCTTTTTCTCCCTCCAATGCCTTAGTTTTTTTGCTTAGCTTTTCTACCCCTCTCTGTTGCCCCATTCTTCTCATTCCATCCGTGGTTCTTTTACTGGTCCATCTTATAGCTTTTAGCGGCTGCTTTTATACCGCTCTGCACCAATCACTTCTCCCTGTGGATCCACTTGGTGCTACCTGATAGGCCAGTTGCAATGACATAATTGCAGCGAGGGCATCTGGCTGTCCTTGTGACTTCCGGTTTGCCTGCTGGTGAGACCAACCCCGCCTCCTGGCCTTGGGGAAGCTGCCATCCTGAGAGGGCCTTTCCTATTCCTGGGACGTGCTTTGGCACCCTGCTCCCCTCAGATGTGGGCATGCTCTGGGCCCGGGGATTCAGATCCTATGGGCTGGTGCTATAGATTGCTGTCAGATGGGCCCAGCCCTAGATCAGTGGGCAGCCCTGCTGAGGGAGCAGGTGGATGGCTGAGTGTACATGTGCCTGGAACAGTTGGTGGGGTAGTGATGTTGGTGGGGTTGGCTAGAAGTCCAGGTGGCAGGCTGGGAACTGGAGGGGTGTCAGCCAGCTGGCCTGGCTCCGGAGTGGATGGTGGACAGGCTTGGGGTACTGGGGGGAGGGTAGAACCTCCTGAGCCTGCGTTGTCCTGGAACACCCTGCAGGGCAGCCAGGCAGGCAGGATCTAGGAACATTAGACACGCCACCTGTGTCTGCCTGGCCTTGGAGCAGCCTGTGGGTTAGAAGTGCAGGGATCTGGTCCTATAGTAGTTGGTATGGAGCAGTGTGGTGCCCTAGAGGCCCAGTTGTCATGGCCAGCAGTCTGTGGGAGTGTGTTACAGCACAGAAGGTCCAGTGTCAGCCTGGCCCTGGAGTGCCAAGCTGAGTGACAGGGAGTGCCCACCGGGGCCACAGGGTCCCTGGCAGAATGGGCTGGCTCTGAATAGCAGGCATCTGAGTGGTCTGCTGAGGGAGTAGGATTGCTGGCTGATCCCCACTTGCTCTGGAGCACTGCATGAGCTGAGCCTACGTGGTCCTGGAACAGCAATCAGAGTGTTGGTGTGTCCTGACTGGATGTATGTGGGGTCGGCTGAACCCTCCTGGGAGGGGCCTGGCCCATGAGCATGGGAGGCACTGGCTGAGGCCATGTGGACCTTGAGCTGCTGATGAGGCAGCTGGGTGGGTGAGCTAGAGGTATAGGGGTCACCTGCTGAGGGAGCTGTGCCTGTTGCAGTGACCACACCATGAGTGCTGGTGGCACTGAGGACCCAGGGCCCCATTATCCTGGCCCTGAGATGCTGGGGAATTGGAGGTTCGTGCTGGCTGGTTCCTCAGTGCTGGCAGCAGAATGGGCCCCGCCCTAGAGTGGCATATACAGCATGTGGTTTGCTGAGGAAACTGGGTAGATAGCCAAACTCAGCTGTCCCTTGAGCAGCAGCAGGGTGGTGGACCTGGCAGGCTAGAGGCATGTCTGGCACTTGCCAATCAAGGTTGACCCTGGAGTAAGTGGCAAGCAGGACCTCAGTGTATACTGTCTGGGGCCCCAGAGACCCAGGAGAATGGCACTGTCCCCAGAGAGGCTGGTCTGCAATGAGCCATGTGAGGGAGAGGTCCCTTGCTGAGCCAACTGGCCCTGGATCAGTGTAAAGGCCGATGGAATGGGTGCACCTGGGATCCCTGGTGCCAGGCAGCTGAGCTTTACTGGTTCTAGATCAGCTGGCATGTGGCCTTGTGTGTAGGAGGTGCTGCAGGAGCCTGTGTGGCTGTGAAGCAGGTCGGGGAGCAGGGTGCCATGCTGTGGTGTGGAGTGTCTGGTGAGCCTCCCTGGCCATGGAGCAGCCTGCGAGCATCTAGGCAGATGGCCTGGAGAGTCAGACCGAGCTCATAGGCAGAGCTGGCCTGTGCCTCTTGAACTGGCCACAGTGGGAGTGCTGGAGATGTGGTTGGCCCATGGCAAGTGAGCCTGGGTCTGGAGTACAGTGTGGTCGGGCATGCCAGCTGGGGCTGTAGTGCCACCAGAAGAACTGGCCTGGCCCTAGTTAGGCATACAGCAAGCAGTCAGCTGAGGGATTGGGGTGACAGGCCAAGACCAATTGCCCTGGAGCAGCAGCAGCAGGGTAGCATCCACGCCAAGCTAGAGGTGTTTCTGGCAACAGCTCACCAAGCCTGGGCCTAGAGCACCAAGCCAGATGGCAGGCAGGCGCGCTTTGTGTCTAGGGCCTGTTGGCCAAACTGGCCTGGCACGGCAGTGAAAGACAGAAAGGCTGGGGATGTGATGGCTGCTGCCAAAGGAGGTGTGGCCCTGTGGCAGCAAGGGGGCATGTGGTGGGCTTGCACAATGTGCAGGGGCACTGGCAAGCCGGAATGGCCCTGGAGGAGGCAGCAGGTGGCTGTGGGAGCGGGATGGGTGTGGGTTGCTTGAGAAGCCCACCTTGCCCTACTGCAGTGGATATGGGAGGCAGTGGCCTCAGGCTTGTGGAATGCCAGCTGAGCTCTAGCGGCTCTGGAGAGGCTGGTAGACAACCTGGGAGTGTGGAAGGCCCTGCCAGAGCCCCTTTGGCCCTTTATTGCCAGGCGGGATGGCAGCATGGGCATGTTGTGAGGCAGGGGATTCAGGTCCTGTGGGCTGGTGCTGCAGGTTTGCCTAAGAAAGCACCAGGATTACAGCGCCTTGTGGGCCAGCAGGTTGCTGAGGGAGCAGGGTTGAGAGTGCTGGAGGCCCCATAACTACTGTTTTGGCCTGGAAGTGCAGGCAAGACGCTATGTGCGCATGCTCTGGGGGGTGGGGGATTCAGTTTGTGTGGGCTGGAGCCGCAGGTGGCCATCAGAACAGACCCGGCCCTGCAGAGCCCACTGGTGAGCAGTCTGTTGAGGGTGAACTATCAGGGTGCGAAAATGATAATATGCTGTCTGTCAATGAAGAAACAGTAGATGGCACTATTCATTCCAAGTATATCTGCTAATATTGACTTCTTTTGGTTTCTCTAACATACAAATAAGGGAATTAATGAATTCTCAGGACTTTTAAAAAAAGTACTTTGTTTTATTGCAAAGGCAGATTTCCAGAAAGGAGATACAGAAAGATCTTCCTTCATCTGGTTCACTCCCCAAGTGGCCGCAAAGGCCAGAGCAGAGCCAGTCCAGAGCCAGGAACTTCTTCCGGATCTCCCAGGTGGGTGCACCAAGCAGCAACTGACCCTGTGCCTCTTGGCTGCTCTCCCAATCCCATTCCTGGGCTCCCTGACCCGCATGGAGGTAAGGTGGAGGCAGTGTCCCCTGTGTGTGCAGATCAGAGCTCCGCTGAGTATCTGAGTCCCGTTCCCTGGGTGAGGGCACCCTGCAGACCACTTCAGCATCTTGGGAACCCGCCGTAACTGCAGCCCCAGCCTAGGATCCAACTCCTGGATTCCCAGACAGTGAGCTCCTGGACTGCCCAGCCTCAGTGCAGGCCAGCAGGGAGGTGGCTGGGCTCCTGAAAGATGTATTTCTGGTGCGAACTGCACCCCCACCCCTCCAACATTACTGGAGGTGGCCGCCCAGCCCTGGCCACAGGCCCAGCAGCCCTGCAACACCGGCTCTCTGGAGTCAACCACTGAGCTGTGGCCACAGGCCCAGCAGCTGCGCAGGCTCTCTGGAGGAGGCTACCCAGCCATAGTCATAGGCCTAGCAGCCCCTGGTCCCCATCCCCACAGCCTTGCTGGATGTGGCCGCATACAGGCTGAGCATCCAGCAGCCTTGCTGGAGGTTGCTGCCCACCTGTGGTCACAGGCCCAGCACCCCGCAGCCCCCCTGGAGGCAGCAGCCCATTGTGGCCAGAGGCCCATTGTCCCTAATCCCTGACCTGGAATAGGGGAGGCTAATTTACAGGCCTCCCTGTTGGACTAGGGCAAAATCACATAGCTTGATGAGACCTATTTTCAGGGCTCTGCCTCTCCCCAAAAACAGAGCTGGTCCAACGAGAGCATGGGCAGAAACATGAGGCATCAACTTCCCATGCCTGCCTTGGCTGTGGTGACCCACTGTGTCAGCCACATTCTGCCCGGGACTTTACCAATGGTGGTTGTTGTGACTCTCGGGAGGCCAGTGTGCAGCCACCAGAAGAGAGGTGGGCTGGGTGGCGCAGGCGTGCTGCTGTGAAGAGGGTGGGGAGGCATGGGTCTGAGTGTGGGCCAGGCCTCGCAGTGTGGGATGCATCTGAAACCAGAGAAGTCTTCTGTGAGGACAGCAAAGACCCCAAATTGTGGCATGATGAAATCTTCCCCACGTGGAGACGAAGCTTTCTCACGCGGCGCAGAAGTAAAGAAGCAGCGTGGGTCACCGTGCAAGAGTGGTGGCTGCAGAGTTCCCAGGTGAACCCCAGATGTGTGGCAGTGGGTGGAGACCCCTGAGGAAGCCACCAGGAGGGCCAGTCCATGGTAGGGCTGGGAAGGGGAAGCAAGAAGGGGCATTCTTCCACGGGTGGCTGTGGTGGGGAGGGTATGTGTGCATGGAATGCAGGGTTGGCTGGAAACCCGGTCAGGGACTGGGAGCAGTGGTGGGGGAGCGTGGGATTCATCCTTGGTCCTGGGGAAGCACAGTTCAGCTTGGGGAGAAGCACGCAGGTCTGCATGTGAGAGAGGAGCAGGTTGTTGGGCACTGGAGCGAGCATGTCCAGGACTTCCTTGGGATGTGAAGGAAGCATGGACTTCATCTGGTCAGCATGGAAGTGTGGGGTCTGCCTAGAGCAGGGAAGGAAGCTAGGGTCTGAGGAGGCATCGCCTGGGACCCCAGGTAGGGAGGATGCTGTCCTGAGCAGCTGAGGTGAAGTGAGACTGTACTTTGGAGTTGGTGGAGACCCGTAAGCAGGGGCGGTGCAGGTGGTAGGTTCTGTGTCCCAGGTGGTGAGCTCAGGTCATGCAGGAGGTGGGCGAAGGCAGCACATACATGCTTGCACCATCATGGGATTATCATGTCATTTTTTAAAAGGATTCTTTTTCTATGATACTTATTTTTAAGTGAAGGGTCTCACCACTCTCCCCCATTCCCTTCCATCCCCCCCTCCTGTGATTTGTTCCTAATTTATTACAATGGCATACTCCTTGATCCTTCTATTATAAGCTTAACTTCCTGATCTATGTGTGTATATGTATGTAGGTGTCTATATGTATGTATGTGTGTATATAAAAATTTATAAAACATAAAATTTCCAGCTGCACCCGGGATTCATCTGGCATGCGATGTTTGGGGAGATTAGTGTAAAGTTCTCCCAACCCCCAAGAGAGGGCTGGCCCCCACCCACTCAGCTCACTGACCAATGACAAGATTTCCGCTATATAAATGTGTATAGTGCTTCAAGGTTTGAGTCCTCCTTCCAGTATAGAGTCATTTTTCTTTCCTTCTAAATTTCCCATTTTCTTGGCCCCTCCTACTCACATAGCCTGTTCACTTAGACTGATGCCTACCTAATGCTGTGATATTGCCCCCTCACAGAGACATACCCCACAGCCTTAACTGGATGATATGGATGGAGGTCCATTTGTACCTGTGAGCAGCCAGCTGTGGTGACAGGTGCAGGGCATGGAAGGCGGCATGTCCGGGTGCAGGTGTAGGTGCAGGGTGGTGAAGGGAGCATGTCCTCAGAGTAAATGTGGGGGGTGACTCAATGTGTAGGTCCCTTGAGTTCCTGACGCTTGGAAAATGTACACACCTCCCTTGTCAAAGTGGTGACCATCTCACTGCCTACACTTCCATGGAGGGAAAACACTGTTCCTAGGTGTGTGGTAACTTGGGGTTCATGTAAAATGCACATCCTGAAGGCGGTGGGTTTGGAGCTGGGATGAATCTGCCCACCTGTTCACAGCTCTGCCCCAGGATTCCTCGGATCTGGCTGAAGTCACTCTCCCTGATGACGCAGATGTGCTTGAAGCCGAGCTAAAGAACACCTTACCCCCTAGCCTGGCATGCCTAGCTTTCAGGACTTGGCAATGGAAATGACTGACCTCTGGTCTCGCGTTTCTACTTTTCAGTGCATGAGGTGAAGGTCCAGATGCAGGAAAGCCTGACCTTGCTGAGGAAGCCCTGCCTCTCCCACTCCACCTGAAGCTAAGAATGCTGCACAGCCTTGTGAAGGTTTGAGCCTGGTTGCTCTCAGTTCCTCCCAGCGTGGATGCGTTCCTGCCTTTCCCAGCCTGCAGGAGTCAGAGGGCGCTGTGCAAGCACACTGAGCCAAGGCCCAGTGGTGATGGTGGCAGCAGTGGTTGGCCATGGATGAGGCTGGTGGCCCTGAGGAAGACTGCTGGGTAAGTGAGGTGGTCCTGAGGTATCCCTGTCCTCATCTGCTCCCTGTTAGGGCCTGGGCCTTCCTTAGAGTCCGTGTGGGGTGGGAGGTCCCTGAACTCAGTTGTGGGAGTTGTGGCTGTAAGGTCTTGAAGGTATCTGGAGCAAGTGTGGGCCAGGTGGCTGCCAGCTATAGGTGCTCTGTGGAAACCGAGGTCCCTGAAGGCCTATCACTTCCTTGGGGATTCTGACTCAGGTTTTGAGAAAATCTGATTGACTTGGGCTGCGGGGTGGTCACTTTCATTAGCTGTGATGGGGGCAGGGCAGGGCAGTGGGGAGCACTGTAGCCCCTTGCAGAAGATCCAACATTCTGCTCCATCTGTAGTTAGCTGGGATTGTGACAGAGAAGGCAGTGCAGGGTTTGTGGTGCAGGAGGAGGTAGCCAGCAGGGTGGGTCCCCGTTTTTCTTCTGACTGACAGGGTGCTTGCTGTGTGCCCTGCTATCCTGGTGCATATGCACACCTGGTGTGTGTGCGTGTGTGCTTTCATGGGTCAGATGTGTGGGGTTTGGAATTTTATTCGTTTTTAAAAACCAACTAAACAGATTAACTAAATCAATGAAGTGAACAAGCCAAAATGGTTGGTTAATTAATTCAATCAGCTTATTGATTGAATGAATTGATGAACTTGTTAGAGCAGATGAGTGAGAATCTGAGAGGCCTGCAGGAGGCAGGCCCTGGAAGCTGACTAGGAAGCCTGTCTGCCAAAGGCCTGGTGAGCAGTGACAGTGATCAGAAGCTGAGAAGATGTGCCTGTCTTTTGTAGCCCTGCACCTGAGGGAAGAGCTGTCAAAAGTCAAAAAGAAGGACTTTGAGCACTTGCTGATGGAGGTGATGCAGATCTGGGACTTTCTGCTCCGGATCCCCAATTAGGAAGTCCTGGAGAGTTGCTCCAAGTTGAAGATTGTCAACAAATTGAGTCTCCCTGCATCCCTAGTGGGCCTCAGCTCAGGGGTGTGTAATTCATTCATTGCTGGTTCAGCCTAGATGAGCAGCTACTAAGTAAGTACAAGTGACTAGAAAGGATAGTTAAGCATTGGTGGGTGCTGGGCAGAATTGGGTTGCTTTCTGAAGCACCTGCCATGGCCTGTCTCTCTCTCTCTCTCTCTCTCTCTCCTTTCTTCTGGCTCTCCTACCCATCAGAGCACGTTTAGGTCTTTACTAATTGGAGAAAATGAGGTCCTTTCCTTGTATAAATGAAGGACTTTGCTGTGTGGACAGCTGGCATGGAGTTGCTGGCTGGGCCATGTGTAGTGTAGATTTTGAACTCCGAGTGGAGCTGATGTGAGAAATAGCCTTCCAGGATCCTGCTGCCATCGGAGATTACCCTACGGGAGATTTGGACCTGGCCTGTCTGGGATGGAAGTAAGATGAAGGTAGTCTTTTGTGGTTAAGGATACTTCACCAGGCACTGTTTGACAGGGCCCCCCCGAGTGTCGGTCTGAGCAAGGAGATGTCAGGGGTCAAGAGTGTGAGTTTCTGGGTTGAGCAGATGAATGAGCCTGCCAGCATGAAGCCAGAGGTAGAATGTTGGTAGTGCTATGCGACAACAGCCTTATGTTCTAGGGGTCAATTTTTTTTCATTTTTTTTTTTAACTTTTTTTATTATTTTCATTTTATGATACAGTTCCATAGGCTCTTGGCATTTCCCTTATCCCCTCTCCAATTCCCTCCCCCCACCTAGTTCCTCTATATCATTACTAACATATAGTTCTTCATACACAGTCATATGTCCATCATTGCAGGCATGGACAATGGCAGAGTCCAGAATCCTATTGTCAAGATATAGTATACAGGTTCATTGTCAGTCCATCTTTGACTGGAGGCAGAAATGCATCCTACACTGCATCCTCACATCTGGATGTTAGTCTCCATTTCATAGCTACTGTACATCCCCTTAAATAAAAAGTCATGATACAAAGTCAACAATAGAAAAAATAGAAATTTACAATGCCAGGAAGTTAAATGACATGTCACTGGATATGACTGTCTCCATTATGCAACTACTGTACAGCCCCTTAATTGAAGAGCCACAAAACAAAATCAACATCAGGGAGAAATAGGATATTAACAACACCATGAAGTTAAATAATATGCTATTAAATGACTAACTTGTAGCTGAAGAAATGAAAATCAAGAACCCGGCCCGGCGTGGTGGCGCAAGTGGTTAAGGTCCTCGCCTTGCACGCCCGGGATCCCATATGGGCGCCGGTTCTAATCCCAGTGGCCCCGCTTCCCTTCCAGCTCCCTGCCTGTGGCCCGGGAAAGCAGTCGAGGATGGCCCAAAGCCTTGGGACTATGCACCCGCATGGGAGAGGTAGAAGAGTCTCCTGGCTTTGGATCGGCATAGCATCGGCCGTTGCGCTCACTTGGGGAGTGAATCATTGGACGGAAGACCTTCCTCTTTGTCTGTCCTCTCTGTATATCTGCCTTTCCAAGAATAATAAAAATAAATCTTTAAAAAACGAAAAAGAAAATCAAAAACCTTCTTGAAGAAATTGATGCCACTGCATGTTCTACGGAGTCATTGAATGATTTAATCAGATGAAAAGTGTTTTGAAGAGGTGAAACCAACAGAAAACAACAAAACCTATGCAACATAGTTTCTGCTGATCTTTGTTGGTGAAGTGTGTCTCCTCCAGACAATAAATAGATGGGTTTTGTTTTTTAATCCAGTCTACTCATCTATGATGTTTGATTGAGCTTAAACCGTTTACATTCGGAGATTAATATGTATGGGTGGTACTTTGGTCCTGTCATTTTAGGAATGGGCTGTTCATTGGTTTAGTCTTCTGTTGTCATTTTACTGGTATATTCTTTCCGTTTGCCTTTGGTTTTGTTTGGTGCTAGGCCTCTTCTCTGTCAAGAGAACATCTTGAAGTATCGTTTGTAGGTCAGGTTTGAAAGAGGCAAATTCTTTTAACTTCTCGTTACTGCAGATGAATTTTAGAAAGACACTATTAAGAGACCAAATATAAGAGTTATGGGAGTCCCAGAAGGTGCAGAAAGAGAAGCTGAAATAATAAAGGAAACAATAAAGGAAAATTTCCCTAATCTAGAGAAAGAATTGGGAAACAACATCTAGGAGGGTCAGAGAACTCCCAACAGGCTTGACCAGAAGAGATCTTAACTAAGATAACCTCAGGCTTCCTGGCCTGTGGCTGCAGAAATGGTCTTTTAAGACAAGGGTCTATGGGGGCAGAGAAGGCCTCATGCAACAGGACCTTTGGGTAAAGTAATGGCCCTCACCCATCTGGGTCCTGTGAGTATAGATGTGGTCTCGCCGAAGAGGGATCTGAGCTTGCAGGGATGGCATTGTATGACACGGGCCTGTGGGTATGGGATGATATCCCACCACATGAGCCTGTGGAGTTTGGTGTCAGGTTCCTTTGGAAGTGGGTTGGCCTTGCCATGCCAGGGCCTATGGGTGCGGGGCAGTCCGGGTGTGATTTTGGCCTGTGTGTGTGGATTAGCTCACCATCTGGTGCCTGTGGGTTCAGACATGGCTTTGCATTGACAGGGTTCTGTGGATGAAGAGATGGCCTTGTGCAACAGAAACCTTTGGGTTCAGGGTGGCCTCAAATGCTAAAGGCCTGGGGCGGGGGGGGGGAGGGAGGCAGCACTGTACAAAAGGTGTCCATGGGTGTGGGATGGCCTCTCATGCCACAGAGGCCTTTGGGTGCAAGGAAGGCCTCATGTGTTGGGCTCATAGGTGCAAGTACGGCCTCTGTGTGCATGGCCTGTATGTTCAGGACAGCCTTGTGTGATGGGAGCCTGTGGGCTGTAGGGTAAGGGACTTTTGGGTACAGGGACAGCCTTGCCATTTAAAATCTTGTGGGTGTGGGGTAGGGCTAGTAAGACCTTAGCCCATGCATGTGTTGACAGCTCCTATGTTCAGGGCCTCTGTGTTCAGAGACAACCTAATCCACCTGGGTCCTGTGGGTACAGGACAGCCTCTCACGCCATGGGTGGGTGCAGGTTCTGCCACAATGACAAGGGTCTGAGGGAGCAGGGGTGGCCTCATGTGTCCAGGGCCTATGCATGTGGGGATACCCTCGTTGGTGCAGGGCTTGTGTGGTCAAAGATGACCTCACCCATCATTTTTGTGGGTGCAGGGATGGCCTCAAACAAATGGTGCCTGTGGGTGTGGGGATGACTGTGTGTATGCAGGGTCTTTGGGTGCTTAGACTGCCTCATGCAACAGTGAGCTGTGGGTATAGGGATTACAACACATATCTGGGACGTCTCTTATGGAGATGGCCTTACACGTCCAAGGCCTGTGGGTGAAGTGACATCTTTATATATCTGTGGCCTGTGTTTGCATGAGAGGTCTTAATGGGTTGTTGGATGACCTTGTAGGTCCAGGGTCCATGTAGTCAGGATGGGCTTATGTGTGCCAGGATGGCCTCTTGCAACAAGGACCTGTAGGTGTAGCATGGCCTTGCACTACCTTGGCCATTGGTTGTAGATGTGTCCTCCTCTGACAGAGGCTGTGTGTGCCTGATGGCTTCCTGCAACTTGGTCCTGTGATCCAGCATGGCATCAAAAATTGGCCCCTGTGTTTTCTGGGAATGCCTAGAAAGCAAGTGTCTGTCGGATCAGTTACAGTCTTGAGTGACCCAAAGGGGTTTTGGATGCAGGCATGGTCCTGCATGAAATGAACTTTTGGTTGCAAAGAAGGGTTTATGCAACAGGGGCCTTATTGTGCAGAGATGATCTCATGTGACAGGGGCTGTTGGATCAAGATGACCTTATGTGACAGCACCTTTGTATACATGGAAGGCCTCACGTGACATTTGTCTTGTGTGCAGGCATTGCCTTGCCGGAGTCCAGCTCCAGCTGAGTTCGGAACTCGCGAAGGGTGCGTGGATGAGGCGCAAAGAAAGAGAGAAAGAAAGAGACGGACCACTAGTAACTCTTCATCATCATAATGGACCACGCACAAAAGCTGTCCGCTTTATTTATACAAAATCAGTCAAACTCTGGCTCAGACTTTTTACGTCATGGTCAAGTGGGTGTTTCCAAAGATAACTCTGCCATTTGTTTCACCTAAGGCTAGAATGTTAACCAACTGGTGCCTGGCTAGGAAAAGGTTTTCAATAGATGATGCATATCAGTCAGTAGCACATTCCTACCACAATTACTTTACAGCTAGGTCTTGAGACAGTCAAGGAAGGAAGGGACCTAAAAGATTAGCATAGGATCAAAAGGGGGAGTTAACACTCTTGATTAACATATTGCCACAGGACGCAGCCCTAACAGCGATAATAGCTCTTTGGCTGAAAACTAGCCACTAGCAACATTAGCTTCTAAGTTCCTACTGACGTTTAACAGTAACTCCGCAGAGGCAGACAATGCCTAAATAGATTACAGAATACTCAGCGGGGTTGTCCGGTGTCCATGCAAAGGGAGGCAGAGCTGCATTCAGGTGTTGTAGAGACATCCACCGGGCCTTGCCACACAGCAGGAAGTTCCTTGCGACCCTGCCTGCAAAGGAACTATACTCTTCACACCTTCCTGTCTTCCACACCCATCACACGGACCCCAGCATCTCCCCCTCTCTTATTATTAAGTTGGAGGGTGCGGAGTTCTCTGCGAGTGGCTTGAATTGTGGAGCTCAAACGTTGGAAGATGACTGGGCCAAAAAACAATACAAAAAGGAGAATAATTAGTGTGATCCCCAAATTTATAAAAAATGAGTAGGAGGTCTTATCGGAAATAAAAGATGAAAGAGATTGCAAGAAATGGTTAGTAACGCCTCCTGCAGAGAGAGCCTGAAGGTGAGAGTGAGAAATGGCAGAGATCCGGGCATGTAATTCCTGAATGCTAAGGCTGGTGGATGTGTCATTCCATATACCTTGGAGATGAGCCTTAACATTACTCCAAGGGACATGCGAATCATTATAAGGAAGGGGAGTGACACAAATCCATTTGTAGATACTATGGCAAGTGGTACCAAATCTGGTTTTTAAGTGTTAAGTTTCATTGCCAATATAAATATC